ATGTCTTAAATATTGGTCACAATGAAGAAAATTGTTTCAGCTTACTTTCTTAACTAGGCAGACATGACCTGAAATAATTTTTCCTAGATGGTTTTTAAGAAATACATATTTTTTTCTCCTTGTTTTATTTTAGTACTACTCTAACTTTATTTTAAACCCTAATTTCAACATCTAGTTTCAGTAGTAGATTAGTGAAAACTCCTAGGTTGTTGTTACTGTTCGGTACAATCGTATCGGTTCCAACTCATAATAGCCAACAAAATGAAACACTGTCCACTCCTGCACCATCCTCACCATTATTGCTATGTTAGAGCACATTGTGGTAGCCACTGTGTCAATCCATTTCGTTGAGGGTTTTCCTCTTTTTTACTGACCTTCTCCTATATTTAGCATGATGTTTTCTTCAGGGGCTGATCTCTTCTGATAACATTTCCAAAGAGCATGAGATGAAGTCTTACCATCTTTGCTTCTAAGGTGCATTCTGGCTATCTTTTTTCCAAACAGACTTATTTGTTCTTTTGGCTGTGCATGGTATATTCAATATACTTCACAAACAACATAATTCAAAGGCATCAATACTTCTACAGTCTTCCTTATTTATTTTCCAACTTTTGCACATGTGAGGTGATGGAAAATACCATGGTTTGGGTCAGGCATACCTTAAGCCTAAAGATTACATCCTTGCTTTTTAAAAATGTAAATATGTCTTTTGCAGCAGATTTGCCAAAACAGTGTGTTGTTTAATATCTTGATTGCTGCTTCCTTGTGCCTTGATTGTGGATCTTTGATGGCTTCAGTATTTCCTCCTTTTATATAGGTCTACTTGTGAGGATTTTTCTTTTCTTAATTATCGATATATGATCCATAATGAAGGCTATAATCTTTGCTTTTCATCTTTAGTGCTACAAGTCATACTTTACTTTCAGCAAACAAGGTTGTGACATCTGCAACTCACAGATTTCAATGAGTCTTTCTTCAGTCCTGAGACTGGGTTCTTCTTCATAAAATCTGGATCCTTGAATTATTTGTTCAGCATACAGATGAACAAGTATAGTGAAAGGATACAGTTTTCCCTGATTTTTGTTTTCTTTATGTTGAGGTATAATCCATACTGAAGACTGGTGTCTTTGATCATCATATGTAAGTGCTTTAAGCCATCTTCACTTTCAGTAAGCAAGGATGTGTCACCTGCATATTGCATGTTGTTAATGAGTCTTCCTCCAATCCTGATTCACATTCTTTTTCATATAGTCCAGTTTCCTGCATTACTTTCTCAGCATATAAATTGAATAAGTATGGTGAAAGAAAGCAACCTGCATACACACCCTTCTTGATTTTAAACTATGCAGTGTTCCCTTCTTCTGTTTCATTTACATTCTCTTGGTTTATGTACAGTTTCCTCATGAGCACAGTTAAATGTTCTGAAATTCTGATTCTTCTTAATATTATCCATAACTTGTTATGATCTACACAATCAAATGCCTTTGCAAAGTTAATAAAACAGGCAAATTTATTTCTGTTATTCTCTATTTTCAGCTAAGATCCATTTGACATCAGCAGTGATATCCCTCTTTCCACATACTCTTCTAAATTTAGCTTGAATTTCTGGCAGTTCCCTGTCGATGTACTGCTGCAACAGTTTTTGACCTTTCTTCAGCAAAATTTTACTTGTATGTGATATTCATGACATCGTTGGATAATTCCCATGTTCCCTTGGATAACTTATGGATAAGTACTTCCAGCATTCCATCCATTTGTTGATACACCTCAACTATTATGCCATCAATTCCTGGAGGCTTTTCGGTCAATGCCTACAGGGCAGGCTAGACTTCTTCCTTCAGCACCAATTGTTTTTGATCAAATGCTACCTCATGAAATAGTGGAACATTGACCAATTCTTTTTC